TTCCCTAAGCTGAAAATAACTAGTTTAGGCTCAGGGGTGCCATATCCAATTCCACTTCAAACTCTTTCATTTGCCGACTTATTGTCTGCCATCTTGCCTCAGTGCGCTACCATTTATCATCGGGACTTCCAATGGGCCGATAAGAATGTGGGTCTCGGTGGTGAGACTTGCCTCATTGTGGATGAATATTGTTGTTGGAATGGGTAGTCGAGTTCATAGTCCTCCAGTTATCTGGGAATGTGTCAAATCCTGCTGGGATGGGGATTCTGTGGACTAAGTCTTCGGTTAGAAAGACTGCAGCAATCCAGGAATTTTATCAACGATCTTTAATGATGTCCAATGAGAGGGTATACAATTATATCAATGAGCAATAGTGTGGTTTTTAGTTTTGGCATTTAACCTATTTAAGCATTATGCAAGTTTTTATTTTAATTAAAATATTTTATGGTTTTGATCAGTCCTTGTTGTTGTTGTTGTTGCTCTGTTTGTCCCCATCCTTCTCCTTCTTCCAGCATCTCCCTCTATCCCACTTTCAGACCACCAATGGACGGAATTCTGAGAAAAAAGTCAGAATTAAAAAACAATCAATTAAAGATTGATTGATTGATCATTAATATGTGATTTTTTTTTTTTAAACTCATCAGAGATTTAAAATCATACGCTCAGTTTTTGACTTTCCTTAGTTTAAGACTGTGTATGATAGTGGACCATCTCTCCTAACATTACTTTAAAAACATGTTTTTAGATCTGTCTTTAGTTTGGTCTGTTCCCGTGTCTGCCGTTCATTGCCCTCCCACCACATGTCACTATGATGATGTCACACTGATGCTAATGAGTCTGAGCAGCTCATTAGCCTTGTAAGCACAAAAACAACGTGAATACACACAGATGTTACCAAGACAAGGGCTCCAGCCACCTGATGCTGCTGTTATTTAGACATTTTTACTCTGCTCCCAAAGCAGCAACAAGTAAAGAAGACATACATAGATAGATAGATAGATAGATAGATAGATAGATAGATAGAAAAAGAAAAGAACATTTTAAAACATGTTAAACAGCAGAGACGTTAAGGACTACTTGTCTCACCATCATCTTCCTCAGCTGCTGGAGGTGAGACACTTTTCGATCATTTTGATGTTTCTCATTTTATCCTTTTTTAAAGTTTATGCTGAACGCTGAAGAAATAGATTTCTGTTTATTTAACAAAGTTTCATCTCAGAGCTACAGGAAAAAAAAAATGTTATGTTTATTTTCCAATATCAATGTTAACATGATATCTGAATCTCACATTTTACAGCAAACCTTTTGTACAAATGGTTGGTTTTATTATAATTTACCATTGTAGATAAAAATATATACAAAATGCAACTAGAGAAAATATTGGAGCACCAAGCAGCTACGATTCAATTTCACGCAAGAGACAAGTAACAGAGCTATTTATGGAGAGATGTTTTTGGTCTGAATTGTGGAATTAGCCTCTTACACTAATTATTTACAGTAATGTAACATCTATGGAAAACTATGAGAGGATAACTTTAATTCTGAAAATAAAGTTAAGAGTGAACGAAAGAGAGGAAGATAGGGAACAACATCTCGACAAGTCCTCAGCTCTTTACTTTGATTTATGAAACAGACGGAAAATCACAGTTTTATTCAACTTAAGGAGTCAGACAAAGAGACGGACAGACATCTTTAAAAAGAGCAACAAAATTAAAAAAGGGAAACGTCAAGTAAATTAGATTTACACTCTATTTGATATATTAACACACACAGGACTTAAGTACTGTTTGCTAAATTAGCTTTTTTTATTGATTTGTATTGTTAGTTATGCGTTTTAGATATTAATTCCCGGGAACCACAGATGTAAATAAGCTTTATCGTTAACTCTGGTCCAACGGTGTGTGTGTGTGTGTGTGTGTGTGTGTGTGTGTGTGTGTGTGTGTGTGTGTGTGTGTGTGTGTGTGTGTGTGTGCCCTGTCAACTAAATTAAAACAAAATGAAATAATCATAGAAACAGAATACAATAAACCAAGACATAACGGTTTTCCATTTACACTGAACACTTTGCCTATTTTAAACTGATTTTTGTACTCACTATTATCTTGCACACTTGCTCTGTATAGTTCTTCCATTACACATTTGTAGATAGTGTGTATTATATAGTTGTTGTTTTTTTATTTGTACTTTATATTTTTCCATTTCTTCTTTTTTATTTAGGTCCTGCTGAAGTACCACAGTTTAGCTTTGTACTTTTTATTTGTTTATTGCATGTTTGTATCAAATATTTCAGAACAAAAATGCTAAAAAAATAGATTTATAACATTCAAAAAATGTACTGATCAGACCACTGATGTTACACTGATTCATGTTTTTTTGACTGGGGGCAGAAATTATATTTATTTCACTTTCATTTGTGTCTCAGAGTTTGTTAACAGGTCTTCTTTATCACCATCCTGAGGACCCAATCAGTTTCCTCCACAGCTGCCTGACCACAACCAGACATCTTGGAGGTCCCAGAGCCGTCACCTGGGACACCTTCATCCACCTGGAGAGACACAGGCCAAGTCAGGGACCCCCTTGGACAACATGTGTTCCCCCTAAGGGACAATTTGTAATCACCAGTACACCACCCCCAAGAACAACATCTGAACCACTGAATACAACATCCGTAGCCCCCAAGACAACATTTGTGTCTATTTCAACACCAGAAATACTTCAAACAACTTCCCAGATAACTCCTTTGACACCATTAATAACCCTTGAAACATCTATCCCCCCAATAAAAACCCACAAAACACCCACATTACTCCAAACATCAGCACTTAAACCTGTGACAGAACCCCCAAAACCTCAAAATATACCCCCAAAACCTTCAAAGACATCTCCTACTCCAAGGATAATACCAGCAATACCCCCAACAGCCCCACCTAGACATTCTGGTTCCCAAACAACCTCAGTTAAGCCCATAATAACTTTTTTAACCCCACTGACACCACCAGTTTCCTCCATCAGCAATAAAACTCCCAAAACAGCTTCTGAACAATATGCCAAACTCCTCCCCCCAGCCCCACCTGGACCTGCAGTAATCCCCCCACCTAACCTTACTGAGACGAAAGAAGAATGGAACAAAAATACAGACAACCCAGAGGGTAAGCTACAGGATCATCAGATTGATTTGCAAATAGCTTTGTTCTCTGCTAATTCAGTCTTTTGAAATTTCAGTGAGCTTAAATAAAGAGCAGTATGAGTTCAGGACTCAATTCGTAGCTTTGTCTTGCTGGAATTCCATCATCCAGGAGGCTTGTTCTCCAGTTCAGGAGATTTTTTTCTTCTTGATGAGTTCAGTTCTTCATATGTTTGGTTTTCAAAGAGTGCAGTTCTCAATGACTTTGGTTCTGAAAGAAATGTGTTCTTTTGTAGTTTGGTTTTCAAAGACTTTCCAAAGTCTGTTAAGATTCAAAAAATCTTCCAAATTCTGATATACCCCAGCTTTCAGAAAGTTTTATTTTCAAGTGGTTCATTTGTCTCTGAATGGCCTTGCAATGGCGTTCACATCTTTGGAAAGAGGAAAGTAGCCTCTCTGAGAGTTTTCGTTCAAAAGAGTTGGGTTTTTTTTACTTAAAGGTTACACAGCCACATGCTCAGTTATTATGATTCTCCAAGAGCTCAGTTCTGTTGGAGTTGGCTCTCAAAGACCCATTTTTGGGGAATTTTGTTCTTAAAGAGTTTTTCTCTGTGAGTTGTCTTTGAATCCAAAAGGTATCTGAAATTGTTTGAAGTTCTTGAAGATATTTTGCTTTCAGCTGAAATGCAAACATTGGGTTGAACAGGGAATGAAGTTCAGTAATTTGATAGTTGATCCTGAAAGAGCCTATAGTTTTCTGGGAGTTTGGTTCTAAAAAGTTAAGTTCTCTGGAAGATTACATTTTTAGTATTTCTGTTTTCTAGTTTGTTCTTAAACAATTCTGTTTCATGGGAGATTGGTCAAGTCATTCATTTACGTGGGGGTTTGGTTCTCAGAGAGCTCAGGTCTGCTGGAATTATGTTCTAAAGGAATTAGATTTTCTGAAAGCTGGTTCTAAAAAAATCAGTACCTTTTTCTGCGAGTTTGCGTCTAATGGGCAACAGTTCTCTGGGAGTTCAGTTGTTGAGGAATTTTGTCCAAAAACACTTTTGGAGAATAAAGATTTTCAAAGATTTGTGTGACTTTTCCCACTTTCTTGTCTCAGGTCCTCCTCCTTCTCCAGTCCTGTCTCAGCTATCCATAGACTCCGACTCTGACATGACAGAAAGTTCTGGACTCCAGCAGGAAGTCAGCATCAAACTTTCTCAGAGACAATGCCCTATTATCTTTATCATTGGTAAATACATTTAAGATAAACACAGACCTATTAGAATGTCTACACATGATCTGCGTGCGTCCTTCATATGATACAACCTATATAAGGCCACCACTTCATTAAACCCAATTAAAGTTTTTAAAACTTTTTTTGACATCCAATCTGATGTTCAACTTCAACCATAGACTGTATAAATGTCACTCATTGGATTTGAAGAGGCATTTTAAAGCCCAGCAACAGACACAGGTAAAGAGGTGGGACTGAGGAAGGCTTTATGTTTATTTCTACTTTAAAAATGGGCATTTAAACATTAAATGTATTAATGGAGCGTTTGCAGCCAGCCTCAAGTGGACCCTTGAGGAACTGCAGTTTTTTACACTTCCATTTTGGCTTGATATTTTTAATGGGCTTCAATGCTTCAATGTCTATTAATGTATAATGTCAATGTTGGTAATGACTCAAACTGAGAACATTGTGGTTTATGTAGGAGAGTTACTGGTGTTCTTGTATTCTAATAGGTGGTCCAGGAAGTGGGAAAGGAAGTCAAGCAGCTCTTCTAGCTAAAAGCTTCAACCTCAGAGTCATCTCATTGGATGAGTTGCTCAGGAGGCAGCTACTAAGCCAAGCCTCTCCCAGCAGGAAGTGGGAGGTCATTTCACAAATGATGAGTCACGCAGAGCTGGGATCACAGGTCAGAGTCAATCACATTTACCATACAGCATCAACCATCAACCATCAACCTTACACAGACCCTGGACAATTTTCTGTGACTGAATGGACTGTATGTGTTTGCAGGAGGAGACGATATCAGAGCTCAGGCGACAGCTGATCGGTCAGCAGAAGGTCAACGGGTTTATTTTGGATGGATTCCCTCGGGATGTCCACCAGGCTCTAAGCTTCCAAGAACAGGTTAGGACCAATCAGAGAGCTCACTGCAGTTTGTATGGGGCGGTCAAGTGCAAACGCTCAGCAATGACTAAAACAACTTACAGTACATTAAGACAAACAGAGCACGCAGAGGTTCCTGGTTAACACAAATATTTGCGAGCCAGCTCGAAGTGTTGCAAGTTTGTGGTGACTTAGTTTCCCCACCTGTGTTCAGGCTGCTCATCCCCTACAGTTTATTCTACTCTCCAACCCATGTTCCTGCTGGCCTTCTTTGGTTTCCTGAGATGCTCAGAATTCTCCCAAACTTCATCTGTTTTTAATCCTTCCCTTCTTCTAAAATGATCAGACATCACTATCCATGTTTCAGACTCTCTAGATGTATTACTTTGGGCCTTTTTGTCTTAATTTAAAAAGGGCAGTACATAGAATAGTAAATTGTGAGAGAGAGTGGGGAATGACTAAAAACCCCACAGCTCGCTTGGAGGCCTTCTCTTACCTACAACAAACATAATCTGTCTCAATATACAATATGAATTCAGATTAATTGTTAACATGCACGTGTGTGAGATGTGTAAATTCTGTTTGTCCTGCCCTCTGTGTTTAGATTGGCTCTCCTGATCTGGTGATGCTCCTGCTCTGCTCCAATGAAACTCTGCGCTGTCGTCTGCAAAGACGAGCCACTGAGCTTGGTCTCCTAGGAGACAGTAGCTACGCCCTGCGGAAACGCATTGACTCATTTCAGAGAGACATCATCTCTGTCAGAAGATATTACAAACAGCTAAACCTGCTGAAACAGGTAGGCTAATGAATAAGATACAATTAAAGCTGCTGACAGTTTAACAACACACCTGCTACAGTACCTTACTAAATCTCTTTTTGAAAATGGTACGCCTGCTGAGTCAAAGACACAGGCCAGCTGACACAGCTACACCTGCAGACACGCACACATCTTTTTTTCTGACAAAGGTACATCTGCTTACTGTAAACACGTATGCCTCCTGACACAGGAACATCCAACTTCTGACATATGCACTCCTGAAAATTTCTAGGGAATCTCAGGAGAACTGTCCCTTAAATCCTCCTGATCTGGGGTCTCATTTATAAACATTGCGTAAGCACAAAGCGGGGCCTGAAACTGGCGTACGCCAATTCCCAATTAAAGTTTGTGATCTATAAAATAAAAAAACGTGCGTGTGTGTGTAGGTGGATGGAGACCGAGATGAGGACCAGGTATTTGCTGATCTGAAATCAGTCATCATAGAAAAACTGCCTCACAAGGAGTCATCAGGTACTTATTGATGAGGGCGAATCAATAATGCAGTTAATTCAAACTAATTCAAACATACATCAATACTAATCTGACAATGTTCGAGTAAGTCAGCTGACTATTGACTTTTTTTCTGTGCTTTCAGATCCTGCCGATATCTTAGAATGCAGCGGTGCAGTCCCTCCTGCCGCATCTTGCTAAAAATACAACTGTAACTAAAAATAACATAAAAAGAACAAAAGAACATTCTCTGAAAAACTGTCAGAACCAATCACAAATTAATCTGTGAGCAATGTTCTGATTAGATAATAATGTCTGTTTAGTGTGCTCTGTCTTCCATCTGTTGTTGACCTGTGACACATAAATATCGACAGTGTAATCATGTCTCATCCAAATCAGGAGAAACACTTATAGTATGAGCTTTTTCTATTTTTTCTTTTTTTATTGTTTTCTATATATATTCATTTGTAGCAGGTGTACCTCGAGCTTATACATTTCTTCATGTAATTGAATCCTGATGTACTTAACATTTGTAAATACAGTAAAAAAAACAAAAAACAAAACAAAAAAAAAATCATCGTCAAACACAGATTGACGATCTACAGGAGGAAGAAGAGGGAGGAGAAGGACGGGGGGGGGGGGGGGGTGCTTGCCACATCCTCCAGCCAGAGCCATGAGGTTAGCGCTGGGGATCCCTGGATCTTCTGACTCCTGGACACAGGGCAGAGATTTTGAGAGGGCCAGTTCTTCGCCTGCACCCCACCAGGGATCTGGAGGAGGAAGCTGATGTTGCCTTTGAGAGCAAAAAGTGGAGCTGTGGCTGGCGGAGAAAAGTTCCAGGGAGGAGGAGGAGTGATGTTGTGTTTTATTTTAATGGATTGTATATTTAAAATTCAGTGTTCGTATTTGCTTGATTATAAAAATGTAGCCTATATCTTGAATTCCTCTCAGACTGCTCCTTTGATTCTTTCAGTTGCTCTGCTGTAGGATAAATACGAACGTAATGCTCAATACGACAGAAATATGATCATCAAAGCTACACTTCAGTTTAATGATCATGTCTTAAGTTTTGTGTAACTTCAATCCTGAGACAAATTTACTAATAAAAATGAAATCAAAATTAATCTCATTTTATCCAGTCAGTCAGATATTCGGTTAGTAGCAGCATGTTTATTTTGCCTTGGGCAGAGACGATGAAGGTTTCCTTGGTAGAAAAACACTTTTTTGGAAATAAGCAGCTAGAAAACCCAGAGATGAAAAATATGCAGACTGAAAGCAGTAAGCAAACAAGCTGAAGAGGGAGCTTTTTGCTTTATTCACACAGGTATGAGGAACAGCAGAACAACACAATAATGGACAAAAACCCTGTCCAGTGGCATCACTGTCACATACTGAAAAGACACAACCTACTTGGTTTTGAAAGCTTTATGCATTTATGTTTTCTCAAACTAGTTTTTAAATGTATCAACAATCTGGCCCCTGAACCTATCTCCATATATGTTCAAAGACAGGATGGAAACAGGGTAACAAGAAGCAAGAAGTAAACTGTAACAAACAACAATGTAGCTCTACATGTGGACAATCAGCTTTCTCAATCAAAGGCTGTAAACTCTGTTAACACATTACCACCTGAAATAAAATTAATCTCAGACATAAAATCTTTTACAAAAAAGGTGAAATGCTGGCTGAAAGAAAACCAGAGCTGTACCCACTTTTAAATAGTATCTTAAAACTGTATTTTAAACAGTTTTATAGCATTTGTATTGTTGTACATGTATTTTAATGTATCCTCAGTGTTATGAGGTTTTATGTAACCGAAGGTTGTACATTTTTAATCTGTTTGTTTACACAAAGGCTCAACTAGGGACACGAGTTGGAAATTAGCAATAGCTATATACTCTTTATGCAGCACATCAGTTTCATGCTTTGTATTGAAACTATGTTAAATTGCATTGTCCCTATTAAATAAAAAAATCTAATGAAACAGTAGAAGGAAGGAGATGGGATGATGGCTGTTTGGGTTCTTAATTATCTGTTTAATTTAGGGCTGGGCAACGATTAAAAGTTTTAATCGCGTTAATCGCATGAGTTCCTGTGATTAATCGCGATTAATCACATTGTTATACGCAAAATCCAATAATGAATTAAAAATTAGTGCATAGTGCACTTTTATTGTAAATGTACTTCTCAACTTAAACAATGTAATCAAAGCAAATAAATACAAAACTAAAGCTTATTGTATTGATTGCAGTCTGGACGCAGAGTGGTGTGGGTCTCCTCTCTGCTCTCTGACTGCAGCTGGGTCTACACCAAGGGGCAACCTCCGGTCTTGAAAAATGAAGCCTATGCGGAAGTACAAAAAACTGCAGTTCCTCGAGGTTCCGCTTGAGGCTGGCTGCAGAAGCGCCGGAAGTGCCATAAACCCACAGCCAAAAAAGCCCGTTTTTACCACAGGAATCAACATGTTTACAGCCTGGTTCAAAAAACGAGATATATCTGAGAAGTTGACGGCCCCTTCTCCTCACACTGTGGGGGGGGTGAATTTTTTTATAACTCATCGGATTTTATTCTATTAAGGAAAACGACTATGCCCATATTTGGTTGTGTCAGATTTGATTGACAGCTCTGCGCGGTCAGCAGGTCAGGAGGCTAACAGCTTGATCCGTCTGATTTCTCCTCTTTCTTACTTCGTTTGGAGAGTTTTTTAACACATATCTGACAACATACACGGCTTGCTGTGCGGTTAACAGGCCATCCAACAAGTTGATGCTTCAGTTTTTTTCGGTAAGTGATATAGTAGTGTTATATTTACTGCTTACTCATGTGTTTATATTTACGGACCTAGCTTGTTTAGCGTTAGCTTGTAAACCAGTCGGCTAACTGTGTAGCTCATTATTTACATTATTTACATTATTTACGGTCAATGGTTTAGAAATGTTTGTTGTTAAGATGTTGTTGTTGAAAATAATGAGTTTGTGTGATGTTAGAAGCTAAAGGTTCACCTCGGTGGTTATCTGATGTTATGATGAATGTTATACTCCACCTAAATGTGGACATTAAAAAACAAACTTTGTGTAGTAATTATCCGTCAGTAACATAAACTGAACTGAACCTAATGTGCTGTCTTAAGATTTGAGCAAACTGTTAACAACTTTAAAAAACTTCACTTTGTAAGAGCATCTGTAACCATTAAGAACTATATTAATAACCATATTAATTTTCACTGAACTCATACACAGAATATAGCTGTAGAAATATAAAATATAAATAACATGGAATGAAAATAAGATTTAAAGCACATAGATATAAAGTATAAGAAATAGTTTGAAGAATACAGCCATGTACTGAGCTCATGTTAATAATAAATGAGTTACTGTATGTTCTGTACTAAAGCACAGAGAGTTGGGACCTGTTAATGATTTAAATAATTCAGGTTATATTTGTTTCATGTTAAGATGAAGTACTATCCACAATAAACTGCTTAATTTTTCCTCACAAAATCTGAGACAATTTAATGTGGAATATCATTGTGTGAGTGAGAGATGAGGATTACAATAATGTTTATCTTCTTAACTTTGAATAGATGTTGATGACCTGAATACTGTACCTTTGTTGTCTGGGTAGTACACTGTTGAATTTATAAATGTACTCTTACACACAGATGAATACAGAAAAATAGATGAGAACAAACAAAATGATTTAATGAATAACTGATATTTTCTCTCTTTCTTTGTCATCCTGAAGACCTCGCACTAAAAGTCCATGTTCTCCTGGATCCATGTCACATGCTCGAGCTTCTTCAGAATGACTTTTCAACAGTCAAAGTTTTGCTGAGAGAAGATGGCCAGCAGATAAGACAGCAGTACATGAAGGAGCTCCACAGGCTTCAGGAGGAAGAGGAGGGTTTGCACCTTGGAAGACTGTATTCATGCTGTTCAAATAAAACTAGATCTCCTCCAAACAACTTGTAATCAAACTATTTTCTTCCCATTTTAAACCCTTTGTCCAGTTTAGATGGGAGAAGTTGATATTATGTGATATTGATCTGGGAAGACTACATTTCTAAATCATTTTTAACTGTTTTTATTCACCAGTTATTGATCTTATTTACTCTCCACGTATCTTGATTTAAGAATGGGGCTGTGTTTAAGGGCAAATTTTTGCAATGACTCTGTTCCATCCCACTTTCAGAAATGAACTACATTAGTATTTATCAAAAGAGTAAGAAGTTGTGTAAAAGTAGACTTCCTTCCCTAAGCTATTGAGTTGAGCATTAATCTGAAATGTATACTCATAAGTAGACATAAAAGAGTGCATTTATATAGAAATATTTATTTAATCTGAAAACAACATTAAAAAAAGTCTGTTTTTACAGCAGAGATGAACATGTTTACAGCTTGGTACAAAACAAACAAATAGGTGTGATTAGCTCATGTCTCGATGGACACACACTGTACGGGGGGGGGTGAATGTTTTGATGAAGGATAAGAGTTATTCACAATAAGGCGTGTAGCTGACCAGCTTGACAGGTGGGTGCGGTGTAACGGTTTGTCAAAAGGCTTAAAACCCGCCTCAGCTCTCAGCCTGTGGGTGACATCACTCAGGCCATCCGGGGGAGACCTCCCTCACAGCGAGCTGTTGAAGAGAAGCAACTGAAGTCCACCCCAGAAGAACCAACAAATACAGATGTTGTTGAGGCTCAGGTTTCTTCCTCTGTCTCTGCAGCTCTCTGGGCACCAATAATCCACACTGTGTCTATAGGAGAAATACAAAGATGTTCAATTAATACCTCAGACAAGACAAAATGTACAGTTAACTACATGTGACAGCTCAGGGTGTTTTTTTGTTATGAGCCACATCTGCAGGAATAATATTGAACAAGGTAGCTGCAACTCATAATAATAGATGCCAGTCTTAAACACTATTTTTTCTAATACTTAAAGTTTTTGGTGTGAAGCTGACACTGTCCACAGACTCCATGACTTCACAGGGTTCAATAGAAAACAAATATCTTATAATAAATACTAAATAATTATTTTTCAATTGTCATGTTCACCTCATCGCTGTTGACATCAGTAAATATAAAACACAGACATTCCTCTTTTTGTCAGAACAGTAACATGAACTGTATGCTTTGTAATATTGATTTCTTCTGGATGTCTCATTTATTTACAGTTTATGGATAAAACTTTGTTAATGTATTTCTCTGCTAACACTGACAAAGTCTAACTTCTCTAACAAATAACTCATAAACATAATTGTATATTTAAAAAAGTGTAGTTTTAAGACTTTAATTAAATATTTGTGTTGAATATAATTCGTTTTAACTGTGTTGTAGAAAAGTTAAATGTTAACTTATTGTTTGTAGAGTTTTCTGAGGACGAGCAGGAATAGAGGATGATAGCAGCCTAGCTGTTAGCGATGCTGTCAAGTGGACTGCTAACGTCGAGCTGAATGGGCGGAGCTAAGTCCCGCCGGTCCCGCCTTACTGCTGTCGCTAGGTTGATCCGAAGTTAGGTTGAGACTGCAAATCCAATATGGATGCGGCCGTCGATTGGACTCATTTTCTGCCTATGTCACAGACGGGTCAGGGTTCGTCCAGTAATATTTACAGTCTATGGTCTACACTGGTCTACACTGGTCTACACTGACAGCCTGTGAGCGCTTTTGGAAGGGGAAGGGGCTCACAGCAGCACCCGCTGCTCGTTGAGGACAGTGACTGCAGAGCAATACGTGCTTTCACGTCAGTTTCTTACTCCAAAAAAGTCTCCAATAACACCAGAAAAAGTCGCTAGATTTGTCGCTAGTAGCTGTTGACAAAAAAAGTCGCCAAGGGAGTTTGGAAAGTTGCCAGATTTAGCGAGAAAGTCGCCAAGTTGGCAACACTGTTTCCTCTTTCCTGTGAGCGCCGCAGCAGACATGCGCAGCAGTAAGCAACATACGAGGCTCGCTCAAGATGGAATTTTATGAAATAAAAGCCAGTGAGCAACAGACTTTTACAATAAGAAAATGAATAATAAAAACTGCGTTAATGCGAGATAAAATAATTGTCGGCGAGTTAACGCGAAAATAACGCGTTAACGTGCCCAGCCCTAGTTTAATTATTTGTCAATTACTGTTAAAAGTCAGTTTAGACATAGGTTAGATGTGAGCATGGCTCATCTTGCCTTATGAGAAGATTTAATGCTTGTCGTGCACGGCGTGTGTTCACAATTGAGTACACAACAGCTGTGTGTATGTATAACTCATTATACATACACATTATGTACATTATGTACATTGTTTGAAAGCTGCTGTGCTTATTGTGATAACGACCATTTAACCATTTCAAGGTCCAACCAACACAGCAGCCACAATCTATGCATCTGCCCAGCCAATGACAAACAAATGATTAACCTTTGTCACCATATGTCCGGATATGAATTGTAAAGGCCAATTTTGTAGGGTGCTGAAGAGGCAAACAACAACTCAGCAGGGACTGTATTTTAATAGGCCGCTTCTATCTGTTTTGCTGAGCTCGTTCTGTTGGGAGAGTGTCACAGCTTGATGTACAGCATAGCCTCTATTATTCTTGAATGGAAAAATGGGCAGATAAAAGCTGCAGAAACCTTTGAAAAAAAGGAGAAAATTACGTCCCCAAATTACTGAGATGCCGATTTGGAAGGGATTACTATTATCAGAGGACCTCTGTGTGTGCTGAAATCAAGCGGGAAGCTCTGCTGATGAAAAATGAAACCAATTTGGAATTGCAAAAAACTGCAGTTGCTCGACTGTCCACTTGAGGCTGGCTCCAAGAGACCAGGAAGTCACATACACACCCCATTCAAATGCCAGTTTTTCACATTTATAGCCTGGTGAAAAAATAATAATAATAATGATAATAATCTGATGAGTTAACCTTAAAGTAAGATTGAGACAGCATTTCTAGTATTGCAACCGTCCGCCACTGACAGGCTTCCAAAGCCCCCTGTAACAGGTGGGTGATGGCACTCAGGCTTCATCCATTAATATTTACAGTATGGTTTAAATATGGTAAATTAAATCCCCAGAAAGTTTCACTTCATAAATTACAGACATGGTAGATTAGAATCATGGGATTAGCATCAAATTTACCGTAGTTAAAACAAACGAGTGTCACAGACCAGAGGAAGAGAATATGTTTACTGACAAGCCATATGTATAGTATAATTTACATAATTAATAGTCACATTTTTGGGGCCATTTTGCCTTTATTGGATAGGACAGCTGAAGAGAGACACAACATTTTGGGAGGAGAGAGTGGGGGAAGAGATGCAGCAAAGGGTTGAGGTCAGATTCGAAACAACAAGAGCTATTACCTCTGTACAAGTGACGCATGTCATAACTGCTATGGGCTACAGGACAACCCATGGCAGCTTTTAGTCCATGCTTCCTTATGCAGTGGTTGTTGACGTAACATCCGTTGTTTCCAAGACAACATTAACATGTTGTGTTTGTCATAGCGGCAACCATGATAGAGCCGCAAAAGACACAGGCCCTTACACCTATAAAATAAAGATTTCTCTGGTTTTAATAACTGTTTGAAAAAAGAGGAAATCTAACAATCAACAACAACAAAAAGTATCACATATGTTAAGTCAATTTTTAATCAATTTAGATATTTTAGTGTAGAAATTCTACATATTTTACCTTTAAACAAATAAAATAAAAACCAGTACACTCATACAATCATATAATACAGTTCTTGAAGTTTGTTGAAGTGAGCCCCTCTGCATGATGTCATCAGCGCTGTTATTTAAAGACTGAAGGACACAGAGCATCATGGAGAATCATTGTCCTTATCACAGCGGGGAATGTTAATGACACCTTATCTGACAGCACAGCAGGAGGAACAGAGACTGAAATAGACGTAAAACGGACAGACTGACAAGCAGACCGCTGTCAGCCACGACCATTTATGAACTCAGAAAACAAACAGTTTTGCCACAACATTAGATAGTATTCTCCCTCTTCTTCTGATCTATTATATATTGATTTAACTTCCTTTTTCATACACATGAACATTACTCCATCACTTGTTGTATTTCTCTTTCGCATGAAAGAGTAATTCACGGTTATTATTTTTTGTATGAGATTGTGAAAAGGTTCTCCCATTTTTTATAAAAATCTGAACCAATAATTTAAAACCACCAAATTCAGAAAGAAAATATCTGTCAAGGTATCTGTAGACTATTAACTCCTGTTTTCTGTAAGGCAATATTACTGTATGTACCCTAAGTCTAGGTTTGTGTAATAACAGCATGGTTACAACTTTTTTTCTATCTTCAAAATGATTTCTGGCTCTTTTCAAAGAAAGTATAGATCTGAGCATGTCAGTAGAACAAAGACAGCAGTTAAAGAAAAGGTACTACCATAGAATTGAATTTCTTTATTTGATTCACAAAAATAATGTTGACATGGTTACAGTGCAGCTGGGAGACCTCAGGGACATGTCCTCTCTCTTCTCTGCAAATAATGCAATTTCGGTGAGGTAATAAGGTTACATGTGCCTTTTAAAAAAAATCTTATGTCATATAATTTCTTACCACATGTTTACCTCTTTGACCGATATGGGTTTTTTTTGTTTTGGGGGGTGGAGGGGGGGTTTGGCTTGTCATTGTTTTTTTTTTAATACCACTTTCTGCTGTTTAAGCTTCCCTGATAATAAGAGTTGGTCTTACATAGTGATAAAGCAAAATTGAAACTTGTTCCCTTTGGTGTGCCTTCAGATTCCTGCAGGTCTGCCTCGGACTAAAGTTGGCCTGATTCTGGCTTCTGGTCCTGACTAGATTGGCTCCTTCTGGAAGCTTCTTATCTTCTTTCTCTGAGTGTTTCTATTCCGGTTTTCTTCCATCTTTGGTCCGCTGCTCTCTCTCTCCCCTCTGTCTTTTTCCTCTGCCCGGCTCACCGCCCCTCAGGCTGCTATAAAGCCCAAAACCTCCGTAGAAATCATTCGTCCGCCCTGCAACATGGCCCCAAAGAAAGTGGAACCCAAGAAAACAGAGGTGAAGAAGGTGGAGGCAAAGAAAGAGGAGCCTCCTCCACCTGCTAAACCAGCAGAGCCTGAGGTCAAACCTCCCGAGGTGGATCTGAAGAGTATTGTGGTGGAATTTAGCCCAGACCAGATCGAGGAGTTCAGAGATGCCTTCACGCTGTTTGACGAGACTCCCACAGGAGAGATGAAGATCACATTTGCTCAATGCGGGGATGTCATGCGAGCTCTTGGACACAACCCCACTAATGATGATGTGCTGAAGCTGCTGGGGAGGCCGAAGGCAGAGGAGATGCATGTCAAGCTGCTAGACTTCGACAGCTTCCTGCCGATGCTGCAGCACGTGGCGCGCTCCAAAGAGCAGGGCACCTTCGAGGACTTTGTGGAGGGTCTGAGGGTATTCGACAAGGAGGGCAATGGCACAGTGATGGGTGCCGAGCTCCGTCACGTCCTCTCCACGCTGGGAGAGAAGATGACGGAGAACGAGGTGGACCGGCTCATGGTGGGACAGGAGGACGCCAACGGACACATCAACTACACAGAGTTTGTCAAACACATCCTGGCCGGTTAGAAAACACTCAGGGTGGATCTGCTTCTGATGGACTGAGATTCTCTTTACGAAACATGGCTCTGCTGTAATATGCATATTAAATACTGTACAAGTCCATTCTGTGTCTCTAATTAAACATCTCCAGTCCCTCTCACTTCTGTGTGTCTTCCTCTAAACACAGAGTGTCTTCTTGCTTGGAATTTCTCTTGAACTCCACGTGCCAAGTTGTGCATAAACATGTATGTGTATTCAGAAAACGGCTGATTTGTGTCTCCACCAACTGAGTATAATGATGAGTGGAGGTGGGGACATGGTTATTTATATACATATATATATATATGTATATTTTAAAATGTTTCTTTTTGGGCTTTTTGTGTCTTTATTTGAGAGATAGGACAGTGGATAGAGTCAGAAATGGGGGAGAGAGCGAGTGGGGAACGACATGCAGTAAAGGTGCCCCAGGTCGGATTTGACCTGGGGCACCAATTATTAAGCATTGATAAAATATTAATTATCGGTCTAAAAAATATTTATAGATGCTTTACAAAGTATCAATAAGGGATTATAATCTTCAGTTCCAACTTTATAATAACCATCCAAATAATGTTAATAGATGTTTTATAAACCATCTCTTAAAAGGTTTATAAATCATTTGGTCACCATTAACAAACAATTTATAAAGTGTATGAAATGTAATGTGTGAATCAATAAACTGTTAACATAACATAAATTATAGCATTACAAATCATTAGCAAACATTATTAACTATAATGTCATTGTTTGTTAATAGTAAATAACTATTAACTATCTAGTTACCCTTATTTACCCTTTATAGATGATGGTTATTATAAAGTGTTACCAAAATAAATCTAACACAAAAAAAAAAACAGAAAAGGAAAAGCAAACAGGATAAACAAAGTAAAATTTAGGAAAAATTATTTTAGAATTCAGTTTCAGACTTGTGAACACTCAGAGGGCCAAACTCCTTACACTGTAATATTCTTGATGTCATGACCAGGGTTCAAACCAGGAGACAGCTAGTTTCAAGTTCTGAGCAAATTCAGAGGCGTTAAAAGGGATTTATGAAAATATGTGAAGAGTCTGACTGAAAATGGTTCAGGAGATTGCATTTTTCTATTTACAGGCAATGGGTCTGCTGAGAATAAAAGTAAACAGGAGGCAGACACATTAAGTCCAACATCATCATCATCATTTATTGTAGAACTGTTTTCAGCTGAATTCATCACACTTCCTTTTTTAATCCTACAGAAAAGCAGATACATCTTTCTTTCACCTTTTAATGATCTTCTGTTACAGCATTTAGGTGTACTCTGACAAAGAACACATTTACTTTAGTTACTTCAGCTACATTTTTACATTTTAAGACTTCAAAAAAGTAGTATTTTTATCCTTGTGTTCAAAGATAAGCTAGAACTGTCGTCAGCTGGTTCTACTCTGTATTTGAATGCATACATTTAAAATGTGACAATTAAAACAAGCTGTTTCACTGCATTTTATTTCTCTGATTTATTCATTCATAACCAGACAATTCTGAGACGATCAGCTGATTTCTTAGAAAGTATATGATTACCATCTTTTTAAAGCATGTTGGCATGCTGTCATTAGCTACTTAGCAGTACACTTACAGCCCAGCTGGCTGATGCACCTGCAGGTATTTGTTCATAAACCAAAGTATAGGACACGTTAAATGTTGACCTCATGATGGGGCAGGATGGAAAGTAAGAGTATCATCAAGGTCTTCACAGTTAATTCCATTGGGAATAAGAACATCTAAACCATATTTGATCACAATCTGACCAACAGCCTCAGGTTGTTTGCATATTTCATTAAAACGCAAATGTGAGCCCACCTTGTAAATGTTTTTCCATTTTCAGTCTTGACTAAGTGGTAGACCAACATTTTTATCTCCTGCCCTAAAGCTACACATCAACAACCTAGCACATTTTCAGTGATATTTAATATTCTAAGTTGGGGTTTCCCCAAGTTAAACATCTTATATTAGAACAAATGATTAGTTAAAATGTGACTGTTATCTGAAATTTTTGTTTGAAGAAACCCTCACTCAGTTTAACCCAGTCACTCAAAAATGAAGTTGATTCACTGTGTCCAATTAAAAAATAAAATAGTTGTTGTTGAGAGAAACAAATTAAAAACCAAACAGTCCAAATGTGAATACCAGAGGTGGAGTTATCAAAACTTTCGATACACTCGATCCTACATTTCCTATAATGCAAATGGATATATTCCTTTAATGTAAGTCTTGCAGCCAGACCCCTGTCCTATGCTCATTCATGACTGGCCCATGGGTACAGGTCCAGCTCTGCTCCTATTGGCTGAACCTGTTGTTGTCTGTATGCCCTGATTGGCCAGCTGAGCATAGAGGTGTGACTTCAGGAATCGTGGGTAGCTGTCAGTCTCCATAAGACCAAAAATCTGATCCTGGGCCAGCTGGAAACAGTCAGGTTAACTCGAAGCCGCAAGCTCTGATTAGTCGATTCTCTAACAGATGAGTCCACATTGACCTGAAGAAAAAAGCAGAGGCGTTAAATGACAAATCATGAGACAAAACAAAGACAGACTGACAGAAAGACAGGCACCTGTCTTGCTGCTTTTGTTGATATGAACTCGTCATAGATTTTTGATGCTCGAATAGCCATCTTGCCGAGTGGTCGTGATCTCTTAAATTTCTCCACAGCCAACCAGAAGTCCAAGTTCTCCTCGCTGAACTCTGACCTCAGAAAATGGCGAAAGACTGCTAGACCATCTGATTAATGAGAAAAGAGGTTAGAAGACTGTTCAGCCAATGAGCATTGTCATCAAATATGTGTTTCCCCTGACTGATTATTTGTTCAACACAGAAGAAGAATTGTTTTTTCTTACACTGATTGGTCAGCAGTGCTTCGAGACTCTCCGCCCACCTGAGAACCTCCTTTGTAGACGGTCTGAAAAACAAAACAATCAAACCTCAGACACACTGGATCCAGTTGGCCAACAGGAACTTCAACACCTTTGTGACTTGGGGGGGGGGCTTACCTGGTGTTTCTCAGGGCTTTCTCCAAACTGTTACCCTGGAAACAGCTACTGTTTTTTCTTCTCCGTAAAAACGGCAGGCGACTCCGAACATCAGCAGCTCTGAGAAGTGTTAAGACTGTGTGTCAGGAAGTAAACAAGAATAATACTACCTGCAACACATTGTCACTGATTGTTACAAAAAAAATCCATCGAACACCAAGATTATAGTTCACTAACAAAGTGCAACAGTGTCATCCTTTTTATCAACAATAGAAGAAATAGGTTGTGTCCAACACATTCAAACTTAGAAGTTTTCTGTGTCATATTTTTGATGTGACCTGTTGCACATGCTGAGGTGTACAGATGGTGTTTGCTGTATGCATGATTGTGTTGACAGTGTGAGTTTACGTGTGTAGATGTGTGTGAATGTGTGTTTGTGTGTACATACAGATTCTTTGTCTTCCTCCGCAGTTGAAGATTTCTGAGCTCAGCATCCTAAAAAAAAGAAAAAAACCTGTAAGACTTATTTCTAGAGGACTTTAATACTCTGTCCTGATCTTGCTCTGTTTCATCAAATGTTTTTTTTTTTTTTGGTTTTGCAAATGGTTTGATAACCAGGCAATAATGGTCTGATCTCTACTTGTCTTCACTTGTTTCTTCTGTTCTACACTGCTCTCCGTTGGTCTGTCTTGGCCTGTACCGATATTTACTCGTTAGTTCTGTTTATTTTCTGTGTTGGTCTCTACCTTGGTGCCGTTGAGAAGCAGCATCATGTGCTGCAGAGACCCCCCCTCTTTTGTCAGCTGTTTCTTCAGTGTGTGGATGGAGGGGCGTCTGGGGGAAGGGCCAGTAGCAAGGTCGAGTTCACAGGTTGCAGGATGGGTAAGTCGGTGGATGGTGCTGTCAGACAGGAAGCGGGGCGATCGAGGTTCCTTCATCAAAGATCCCTCAGAGAGAGAACGTCGTAATACTGACGGATAGAAAAATACAGAACTTTTCATTCACTGACATTTTAACGTTTTTCCGATTTACAGTGTTTCCCAAAGAGCAGACTAACCTGCAGGTCTGTGGGTGGAGATAAACTCCTCAGCACCTCCTCCTTCCTCCTCCTCCTCCTCTTCTTCATCACTCTCAACTTCTTCATATTCCTTCATGTTGAAATGGAGAGGACTAAGCAAAAGGCCCCTCCCCCCAAATCCTCCAACATTTTCTGATGTTTCGGAGGCACTCTCTCCCTCCCCCTGCTGTCGCTCCTCTTCCTCCTCTTCCTCACGTCTCTTCTTCCTCCTCTCCTGGTCCTCTGCCAGTTCTCTCTCCTTCCAAACTGGACTCCTCAGCTTGGAGCAGGAGGGAAGAGGTGGTGGGAGGGGCTTAGTTGTTGTGTTGAAGGCCTTCAGAGGATTTGAGGTGAGGGTTGTGTATGGAGAAAGGGAGGAGAAGGGAGGAGGAGGAGTAGAGGAGGAGGTAAAGGCAGCGCTAGTAGGGTAAGGAGATGGAGAAGGAGGTCTGAAGGTATCACAGAAGGAGGAGGAGAAAGGGGAGGAGGGATTGAGGAGGGGAGGATCAGATGAAGAGTAAGGAGATGAAGGGCGATAGAGGAGATCAGACTGACCAAGAGAGAGGAGGCCAAAGCCTGTGGGAAGATCTGAAAGCTGAGGGGGAAGACAGACGAGGAGAAGGAGGAAGTGGAGGAGGGTTGAAAAGCGAGTGGGAGAATATGAGGAGACAATTAAGGACAGGAAGAGATCAGGGGTTTGTTCCAACTCTGTTTCCCCAAATGTTCTTCACAGTACTAAAACAGGCAGGTTAAGTCCATTCAGAGAATCCCCAATGGGCAGACACAGCTGAACAAACATGTCTGTCTAAAGAATTGTTCACAGAAATTGTTCACAAAAAACTCCTGAAGTATTTTGGGGTGAGTTGCATGTGTGAACGCAAACAGCCCACATTTTCACTCTGACTTTATCCGGAATGTTTCTCCTGACAGC